GTAGGACCCATTTAAATGGATTTGGCACACGGTAATATGAAATGTCAAAATGTTTGTCCATATCATCACTTTGCTCTCCACATCATCAAAAAAAATATAAAAAATGCCATGTAAGCGGACTTAACGACTCAAATTAATAGAAGGACTAACGGAGTGCATTTCTTGTAGTTGAGGGATCAAAAAAGTGCAAAAAATTGTTGAGAGATCAAAAATGTTCATTTCTTAAAGTTGAGGGACCAAATTTAGCATTTAATCTAAACATAATCACTAACTAAGGAACAAACGAGTCAAAATACTGAAGTTCAATAACTGCTTTCAAACTCACATAATAATCTGACTCATTATTATTGAAAGTCATTCCCTTTACACAAACACTGCTATTCATGGTCTTTTTATTTTGTCCATATGTGGTAGTATGAAATCAAAATCCATTAACCTAATAACCATTATACACCCTAACTGTCACGCCCCAGAACCAAATCCGGGGACGTGGCAGACGCCGTGCACTCGTGAATGAGTCCCACGAATGCACAAGGCTCAAAAGTTATCCAATTCACATCTGACAATCCATTAACTTAGATCGAATATCTCAAAATTAATTCTATGCTCAACACGACTTAACCTCAAAATCTCCAGGTCAAATCTCTTGTAATCTAACAATCCATTAAATGAAGTTATAAAATCTCCAATTACAATCCAGCTTACAATATCATCATCTATATCTCAAATCTATATTCACTTTACAAAATGGCTAGCCTTCTAACTCGTCACTCCCCTTGGTTTCCTGTCCTCAGTTTCGCTTCCTAAAATGGTGGACAGGGAAAACTATGAGATAACTTAGTAAGTAAATATGGATAACCCTTGGGTAAAACTTTTAAGCATGCCAAATAAACCATGTAAGCATAACAAAGCTTTCAATGATAACTCGTTAAAACATAATCAGATTTAGTTCAATAGAAAAACGTTCAATGACAAAACCGTTAATAAAAAATCCAGTTTAGTTCAATAACAAAGTATTCAATGACAAACCATTAATGCAGAAAAAAATTCAATTCAATAGTCTCATCTATAAGTCATGACCAGCGTTTATAAACCTCCCACTGGCGGGCACATTAGTTACCAATGTTTAACCCCATTGGCAAGGTTACAAAAGTACCAGTGTTTAACAAAGGCCAAAACCCCTATTTGCACCCTCCATTTATTTTTTTTCCGCAGTCAACACCTTCCAGAATTTTTCCTCCCTATTCACACCCTCCACTTTTCAAAACCCGTAAAAAACCCAATATTTTAACGGGCCGTCACGACACCGTTAATAACCATTAAAAATTGTAATACTTGGCATCAAACAGTAACATAATCCAATGTGGACTTTTTTTTTTGATGATATGGCATAATTAAATTATAATTAATTTTAATTTTTTCATTTTCTTCTTTCCCGCATCATCTTTACCATCTTCCTCTTCATCTTCCTGGGTTCCTCATGGAACCAGGAACCAGGAACCAGGAACCCAGAACTTTTTTTTATAATGTGTTATAATTAAATCATCATTAATTTTAATTTCTTCATTTTCTTCTTTCCCGGCATCATCTTCACCATCCTCATCCTCATCCCCTAGGTTCCTCGCAAAACCCAGGTTCTGAGTTCTTCGTAAAACCTAATTTCACATGAATGCCTACCAAGCTAAGATTTTCATCCACACAATTATAAGTAAATGAATACTGCACAAAAACATGATAAGCATCTTTTACTCCTTTCCCACAAAAAACAAAAAAAACTCAAATTGGCAACCTATTCAGAAACAATCTCCCAGCAAAAAAACTCACTTTTTCAACAAAAAAAAATTATTCCAAATTATTTTGCATAAAAACGGAAGCTAAGATAAGTACATTTAAAATAAAAAAATCAAAAAAAAAAAAGGAAGGTTGGAACTAGGTTCTGCGCAAGAACCCGAATTGGGTTCCACGCAAGGAACCCAGATATGGGTCCCCGCGAGGAACCTGAACTGGGTTCCTCGTGTGGAACCCAGTTCGGGTTCCCCGCGCGGGAACCTAGAACTGGGTTCCCCGCGCGGGAACCTAGAACTGGGTTCCCTGCGTGGGAACCCAGTTCTGGGCTCTTGCGTGGGAACCCAGATCTGGGTTCCTCGCGGGGAACCCAATTCTAGGTTCCTCGCGCAAGAGCCCAGAACTGGGTTCCGCGCAGGAACCCGAACTGGGTTCCCCGCGAGGAACCCATTGAGAAAGAAGAGGAAAAAAATGCCATTTATGTCACTGTTTGGTAATATTATAATTTTTTATTATTTTTACTGTATACGTGGCGTCCACATTGGATTATTAACGTTACATAGTGCCACGTCAATTTTTGGGTGCCACGTAATATATTTTTTTAACGGTGCCGTGACAGCCCGTTAAAGTATTAGGTTTTTCACTGGTTTTGAAAAGTGGAGGATGTGAATAGGGAGGAGAAATTCTGGAAGGTGTTGACCGCGAAAAAAAAATAAATGGAAGGTGCAAATAGGGGCTTTGGCCGTTTAACAAACTCCCACTAGCAGGCGTCAGTAATGGTACCAGTGTTTACAACTCCCACTGGCAGGCGACAGCAATTACCAATGTATTCGCCCATTGGTACGCGTCAATAGTACTAGTGTTTACAACTCCCACTGGCAAGCGACAGTAATTACCAATGTATTATCCCATTGGCAGGATGAACCGTCTCTACAGAAATACATGTCGACATGTGCTAGCGTTTGCAGCTCCCACTAGTGGGCATCAGTAATCATGACTATATCAGAGACAAAACCATGCAGAATTTACAGAAAATCCGAAATTCCCAATCAATCTCAAATTTCAGAAATAAACCGGAAAATTTCCATGTGAACATGGATTTATCAGAAAAATCAGAATTTACAAAAAATCCTCAAATCATGAGAGCAGTTTAGTAAATTCCAAGTAGGCATGCTTTACTCCAGAAAACAATGAAATTTTCATTTCGATTCCAATCATGCTCAATTCCAAAAAATAATAATTTTCATAAAAATCATCACAATTTTCATTTCAGTTTAATCACACTCAGATGCTGATAAAATCAATTTAAACCTTGCCACCATCTCAAAAACAATTTAAAACATACTTTGAAATTGAAGGGCTTTACCATAATTTACTTACCTCACTCGCACCAAACAGAAGGCTAACCCAAGTGCTACGGTGACAGAATGATCAAAACCTAATCACAATACCCAAGAATTAATACCGCACTACCACAAATTCACAGTGAAATCATCTTTAGCACTACCCCTAATCATGGTGCTATTTCTATCAATCTCTACATAACCGGACATCTCCAAATTTATTCTTATATCACAAACTAATCATTTAAATCCCCATTAATTGTTGACACTCGGTGTGTGAACAGTGCCCATGAACAGTACCCTGTGAACAGTAACTTCAACTCCCAAAATTGGTAAAACAGTGGCTAAAACACACGAGATTTTTCTCCAAAATCACAACAACCCAATTCAAGCCAATTTCCTACTTAAACCACACTTAAAAACATAGCTTAAAGCTACCAAAATTTCCCCAATCTCATGGGCAGCACCTGGAGGGCATGACCTTAGCAACCCACAACTCACACACATGGGATTTTCACACAAAACATCACAGCAGCCAATTCAAGCTAAATTCTACATAATCAAGCTTAAAACACATTTAAAATGTTGCTAAATGCTACCGGAATTCATCCCCATTTCCGGCCAATTTTCGGACAACACAGGAAAATTCAAACAACAACTAAATGGGTGAAATTGGACTTAAAGGAAGCTGTCCATACCGGAATTCAATAAGCAAGGCCGGAGCTGGCGGGTTTGGGGGGAAAAGGCCGGCGGCAGTGCAGGGGAATTTCGGGAAATCTACCAAAATTCAAGAACCAAAATACCATTCAAGGTAAACCCAGGCCAAATTAAAGTTGAAAAGATGAATTCAAGGCTGCTTCTTACCAGAAAAAGCCGAAGGATTCAAACCCAACAGAACCCGACGGACAAGGGAGGAAGAAGCAGAGCAGATCTAGGATTTCTGGGTTGAGGGAGAGAATTCTAAGCCCCAAATCTTGTGATTTAACAAGAAAAGAAGAAGAAATTCATCAAGCTCACCGATTTCCCAAGGCTGGTGCCGGCGGCTTGGAGGGGGGCTGGTCAGGTGCAGGAGAAAGTCTGCTGTATCCCCGGGATACAGCAACGTGGTATCCCAACCCAATGGGAAAACACCACATCAACAATTTTTTCAGACTTCATCAATCCCAAAACCAAAAAACAACTGATGTGGTGTTTTCCCATTGGGTTGGGATACCACGTCTGCTGTATCCCGGGGATACAGCAGACTTTCTCCAGGTGCAGGGGAGAAGAAAAGAAGAGCAGATGCGCAGATAAGGAAGGAGAAAGAAAGAAAAAAGAAAAAGAAAAGCAATTGATCCTTATCCTATTTCCTTTTTTAGTCCCTCAACTTTTGAAATTTGACTATTAAGCCCCAAAACAATATTTCTTCACAATTAGGTCCTTAACTCACTTTAATATTCTAGGAATTTCAGGGTATTACACTAACATTGCAAGCTGGTCTAGTTACTACAGGCAAAAGGCAAGGATCAACCTCGTATCTTTCGTTACACACCTACATTTGTTATAAAATATTTAATATTTAATATTAATAAAATAAAATATGAGGCCTTAATGATAAAAATTATTATAATGAATGACTAACCGTTGTCTTAAACCAAGGAATAAACTCAAGTTGGCATTTCATTTGAATTTGATTTGTTAATAGACTAGAACAAACTTGATACTCAAAAAGCCTACAACAAGAAGTTGGAGTAAATAATCTATAAATACTATTAATCTTAAAAATGAAAGTTAACAGTAGAACATATGCAATCCATGGCTCGACTTCTTCACAATTAAGCAAAACATAAAGCTCTGTTGCCTTTAATTCTTTGGGTGACAATGCATGTCTACGCATTTCTCCACCTAAAGGTTGACCTCGCTTTTAAAGATAGATAAACAACCATCTATATCATCATTCCCATTGACAATATTTCTTGGATGGCAATTCAATCTTGTCTCTATATCAAACCCAAAATAATGCAAGCAAAAGAAAGTAATTTTTGAAAGAATGTTAGACTCATAGATCAAAGCTTCAACACAATTTTTATTCAACACTTTCTTCTTAAGGCCATGCTTTTTTCTGTTAAACAAATAAGAAAATCAATAAGATTAAATTATTGAGCATGCTCAATAATGTTATTGTGGTGCAAATATATTAGAAGAAATATACCTTTCAATAGGGTACATCCAACAGAATTGGACATGTCCTCCAACTTTTGCCTAGTATGGTAGATGGATTGTCAAATGCTCCATCAAATCAAAGAAGGTTGAAGGGAATGCTTTCTCTAACTTGCAAATAGTCTCAACAATTTTTTCCTCCCACATCTCAATGTTATTAACTTGAATAATCGAAGCAAATTAAGCTCTAAAAAGTTACGAATCTTAGTTAGAGGACCCAAACTTTGTCTATAAGGAGATCACGAAAAATGATTGGCAAGAGAATCTGCATGAATACATGACAATCATGGCTTTTCATCCTAGACAATTGAAGATCATGCATGTTAACACATCATGTTATGTTCATAACATACCCATCAAGGAATCTCAATTCCTTTAGCCATTGACAGCCAAAAGCTCATTGCTCTTAAGTAAAAACATATGTAGAATTAGGTTTTATAGTTGTTCCACCATCTTGTGATATTAATTCCAATTCAGATCTATTGCAATATAGTTGTAGATCCATTCTGGCATTTGTGTTATTCTTTGTACACCCCTTGTCATCCATGATAGTATTTTTAATGTTATCTAAGAATTTTTTTCTCACAATGCATGACATCAAGGTTATGATGAGTCAATAAATCCTTCCAGTATGATAGTTCCCAAAATACGCTACATTTCACCCAATTATGGAAAACACCAAATCCTAGAACTGATTGTTTATGAAGTGGCTAGCCAAAGACTATGTCTAAGGGTTGATTAACCCTTTCCTCCACCAAACTACCATTTAGTCTCGAGGGGGAAGGGCTTTTTACCACTCTGTTTACATAGAAATTTTTCTTATCTTTACGAAATGGATGTTTAGGAGGTAGAAATTGATGATGACAATCAAAAAATGATGTTTTCCTCCTATATTGAAGTTGAAAAGCCTTTGTGTTCTCCATGCAATAAGGGCATGACAACCTCCTATGTATGCTCTATCCATATAACATGCTGTAACCCGAAAAATCATTTATAGTCCATAACATTGTAGCTTTCATGATAAAATTCTGTTGTCTAAAACTATCATAAGTTTCAATCCCATTTGTCCACAATTCTTTAAGTTCATCAATTAATGGCCTCAACATAACATCAATATTTTCCCCCAAGACTTTTAGGTCTAGCAATCATCAAGGCAAGGAAAATATGTTTGACTTCATGGACAATTCATGAGGAAGGTTATACACAGTAAGAAAGATAGGCCAACAAGAGTAAGGTGCTGCAGAGCAACCAAATGGACTAAAACCATTTGCACAAAGCCCAAGTCTAACATTTCTAGGTTCTTCGACAAATGTTGGGTAGGTTTCATCAAAATGTTTTCATTCCTCACAACCCGCGAGATGAATAACTTCATCAACATCCTCACGGCATTTCAAATACCATGTCATGTGCTCTACCGTTTTCTAGACATGTATAATGACTGAAATCTTGGGTTAATTGCAAGGTACCACAAAGACTTCTTTAGAACATCTGTGTGCCTCACAATAGCCATGTTCCTTGGCTCATAATGGGATTTTCCACAGACTGGACAAGTAGTTAAATTCTTACTTTGCTCATCATAGTACAAAAAGCAATCATTGACACAAATATCAATTTTCTTGTACCCAAGTCCAAACGCATTTATCATTTTTTTTGCATAGTAGAAATCTTTTGGGACTTTTTCTTGGTCCTTTGGACTCAAGAACTTTTGACTCAATGATAGTGTCGTCTCCCAATTAGCAACACTCATATTATAAAGAGTCTTCATGTTTAGCATTTCTACCATCCATGAAAATATTGTGACATGTTCTATCCCAACACCTATATGAACTTGTGCAGCATGCAGAAGATCATAAAATTCTCTTGCCTTACTATTTGGCTCCTTACCTATTGGCCCCTCATTGTATACAAGTTGTGGACCCATTGCATCAACTACCATTGCACAATACATTGTATCTACCTCATTTCTAACAAACTTCGTGTTAGAAGATTCCCCTCCAAAGTTTCTTGCTAGATTGTTGGATGTCTCTCCATGAACATACCATGTATAATAGTTGTTCATAAACCCATGCTTACACAAATGCACGAAGATAACCTCAGGGTTCCCCCATTTCCTACATTTGCATTTCAAACAAGGACACTTGATCTTTGATTTTACTTTGGGTCTAGAGAATGCAAATC